CGGGGCGGAGCCTCATTTTTTGCCGAAACACCCTGTGATATACCACAGCAAATTCATTCGTGAACCCGCAAAATGGAAGCAGTGGCACTCACAACAATCAATTAGGTTTAACCGGACATGATAATCAAACACATGGCTTAGTAAAGGGACTAGCAACAAGAACCCTTTACTCAAAACACAAATTAGACAGACTATACATCAAATAAACAAGTAAAATAGTCTATGTCCTGTATCACCTAAACCACAAAGATCATAAGCCTACAATCAAAACAATCAGTTGCCACTGTATCATAACCAAGCATGTCTGCATCTATCAACAACAGTTGGAACATGAACCAATAATTGAACTCCATACTAGTATACTACTAATATTAACACAGTTAACAGTACAGATTAAAACAGGAATTTGAGGAAAAAGAATTGTTACCAGTGAATGGCTCGCTGGTAAGATTCTTGATAGTATTCAGAAACTGAGTATTAGGCCCTTCAACTGGGCCCCTTCTATAGCAAGGAACAAGAACAGCAAAGCTATCATCAGTTTCATCATCACTCAAGAAATCAGGTCCATGTGGCTCCAACCACCCAATTGACCAATCAGAATCATCAGACTCAGACCCTGACAAGCAAACCCCATCATTTGGAACCATAACAACATCATGCTCTCTCTCAATCTTCCTCTCTTCTCTGCTATGCCACTTCTTCTTAATCTTCCTAGGAGAAGATGAAGAAGAAGATGAAGCAATCCTAGTCCCCTTCAATGGAAACTTCACACTATCAATCTCCCTAACACCAAAACCATAATCAGGCATCGAATTCGAAGCACGAACATTCGAGACGTTTTCGGTCTCCTCCTTACCACCCCACAAGGGCATTCCCCACAATTGAAACCTAGGAAATGCCATTTTGAGCAAAATTCACACACCCAAACACAATTTGGTTGAATTTGTGAGATGGGTATAAGTCTAAATTGAAGATTTATACCAAAGTTGAAGACTTTATATCAAAGTTGAAATAATTCTTTCAATTCAAACCCTAATAATAACACTTTCAAAGAATATGGTGAGGAATATCTCCTTCAACCTCTCAAAGCTTAAAGCTTTAACCTGAAATTTCATATAGATTTCTCACAAATTGGAAACCAATCACTTCAAACTCCAAACATATATGAATTATTTCTCACAAATTATTTAACCAGAAAAAAGCGAAAACCCCGTTACATCCAAGTCATGATGAAACTAGTTGCAAATAATTCATCTATTACTGACCCACTTTTTTTTTTGGTTTTTTAACTGACAAAAATTTCTAATTATGGCAACACCATGGCAATAATTTACAACACATGAGTGTACCCAGCAGGCCAGCAAGCATAAGTTACCAGATTTAGAAAATAAAGAGAGACAGAAATAACTGCAGAAGAAAAAACAAAAACAAAAAATTACATTAAATAATCGTACAAAATTAAATTAAAAGAAAAATTCCCCAGAAACAAGAATTGTTTATTCAATCAAAGAATGAAAAATTGGAGAGATTAACAAGGGGTTTGGATAAAAAATCGGAGAAACCCAGAAATCTGAGCAACATCAAATGATGATAAACACTGAAAAACAAAACCCCAGAATTTTGAAGAATTTGAGTCAGAAAAAAGAGAAGCAATCCTAAAGAGTTCAAATTTCGAGAACCATATTTCTGGAAAATTCCAACCCTAACATAATCAACCCTCTGTCTAACTCTCTCTAACTGACAAATTCTGGTAGAGTGAGGGAGCAAGTTTAAGCCTTAATATACTCCGATAGGCCCCAATTTTTTCTGTTGTTATAAGATTTTATTTTTTAGTTTTATGGGTAATATTGAGTGATGTATTAGTTTTCAATCTCGTGCAATGTACGTGGTACATATTTTGGTACTTTAAAAGAAGATGTTTGATGCTAATATTGTGCACTATTTAGACCGTGTTCGATATCTTCAACATAAAATTATTAGTGTTTTTAAGTAGTATAATGAATTGTCAATTAGTTGTAAATTGTAATAAACTAATAATTGTGTTTATATTATAATGGTCAATAGATATGCTAATTAATATGCCATAAACCATTGATTTTAACCATATTGGTTTCATGAATTTTATTATTTTCAATATATACATTAATCGGTTTATCTAACGTGTGCCCATAGACAATGTTAAGTTACAAATATACTTATTTTACTTACACCTAACTTGGTCAAGAATTCTAAATTACGGAGTAACCATCAAGTAATAGAATGATTATACTTAAGTAATCATTGTTGATGAGTGAATTTGAAAGGAAAAAAAATATCATAGATGGGCGGTATGCTAGTATTCTAAGAAGGTATGTTCTTAGGAGTAATATCCCAGTTAGAGGTGTTTTTTAAAAAAAAAAATTTCTTTTTCAATAAATTGTGGGTTAAAATTAATATTGTACTAATAAAGATTAAAATAAAGTTCAATTACTCCATGTAAGATTGTATTCTCAGGAGTACTTTATTTGCCGTATTACGAAATCATACAAAAATTAACATGATTATTGCACCCAAAACACATGATATTTTGTTCATCACCATAATAGTATTTTACTACGTAGTATTTTTGTTCATCATATTGTCATTGTTAAAGCTATACTGTGTTATTTTTTTACAATAGTGCGTACAAAAAACGGATGATATTGTAATGACATGGCAAATTCTATTTGAGTGGATAATGACATGGCAACTTGAGGAGGCCAATCATTGAATATGTGTGCTCAGCAAAAGGACGCGTGGCATACAATTGCTACAATATCCATCTTTTCAGTGATTGATTTGTGGTTTACTGGTTTTCTTTCGTTGGGGAAGATGATTTGTGGGTTACTGATTTTTTTTCTTTCTTGAACAAAAATTTGTGGTATGTGTTCCTGTAAATAAACTTAACAAGTCGTGTTCAATAAGCACTTCGATCTAAAACAAGGTTTGTATCTAATACAAATTATCCCAATATTACTACAAGTTACTCAATGTAATCAAATTTGACAAATTTACACAATACAAGTTGTACTAGTTACCCTTGTATGTCATTTTCAAAAGATTAGGCTCCACACACCGACAAATTGACACACAAATTGTCAACAATCACGGCAATTTGTTATGCTTTGCTTAAATTCCTTATCCCTCCAATTAAAGTTAAAACCCAAGTTTAGAGTAAGACCACTAATTTATTGTAGTATTTACGGAATACTTTACGTTGAAAAATATAATTTCACAAGATTAACAAATTTTGTTCATAGACTCTTCATATAAGATAGTCAAAGTTGAAAGTTCATTGTTTTTGCTCATAGATTCTTCAAATTTTGCTCATAGACTCTTCATATAAGATGGTCAAACTTTAAACTGATGGTTGAAAACTCAGGATTAGTTTATATTAATTTATAATCACGTTCTCTCACATGAGATCCCTTTGAATTTGATTTGTGGATACAACATAACTAGTGCTTCCTCATATCCATTGCTTAAAATTCCACTTGAAAGAAAAGTTGTATGAGATTTGAACCAGTAACATTCTTATCATGTTAGCTCTTAATAATCCCTCTATATTTTATTACTTGCTCCACTTTTCTTTTGCGGCCGTATGTTATTACTTGTTCTATTTCCTTTTTGAGAAACCTTTCACAATACTTTATTAATTTCTTCTCTCTTAGTGGACCCCTAACTATTATACTTTAATATTTTTATATTCTCTCTCCTCCCAACTAACATACTTTATTCTTCCAACAACCCCACTTCCTTCTTATTTGATTACTTACTACTCCATATTATTTCTCTTAAAACTCTACGCATGGAGAAATGGAGCAAGTAATAAAATACAGAGGACGTACCGTGTTAAAGGACCACAACTCAACAAAAAAACTCAAACTGATGGTTGAAGCACATGTTTGATTTATATGCTCTATAATTCATGATTTGATCGCAATATGATCAATTTCACGATAAATGAAAAATAGATGATGAAATATGCTAATATAAACTTTGATACAGTAAATAATATGCATACTTTCTCAACAGGTTAGAAAAAATACGAATTCAACTCCCTTCTTTAGTGGAATCTTTGGGCATATATTTGGTTTTAGATTAGATAGATCATAATATCTTTACAACAAACATTAAAGAAAAAAAACGGTTGATTTTCAACCATCCAATACCTATCCCTACCGATCGTGCAAATTGCAACAAAACATAATATTGGCCCATTTACGTTTGACAAATTATTGCTTAAAAGAATATATATATAAGTTATTAAAACCAAATAATCAAATATGCCCAATTGCTTACTTTGTGATGAAAAGGGTAACCTACTTAATTAGTCAATTAATAATTAAGATAATGACAAATCCAATCCATAAAAAAGCAAAATATACCCTGGACCATTTGCCTTATTTATAGGTATATGTTGTTGCCATCACCCTGAACCCAACTTTATTCACAAATCTTAGTTTCCTCCACTTGAAACTTGAAAGTCTTTCATATCTATGTGCATTTTGGGTCATCAAAAGACAAACTAAAAGAAATGACCTTTAATTTTTTTTTGCATATTTTTGAGTTATCTTTGTATGAAGGCAAAGTAGTAAGGAAGAAGCTAAAGCACCTTTCAATATTATCAAGGAGTCATATATGTAATTCTAGTAAAATTTAATTGGGTATTGGATCCCCATTTCATTGTGTTTCATCTCGATAGGCCAAACTAGATGTACTACCTTTTACGTCTATCGTTGCAAGGGATTCTTTTCTTTAGTTTAAGGAGTGTCATTTATCTAGTCTTTAGTTATAAAAATGTTACGAAGAAGTATTAAATTTGTACTAATTATTGTTGTTTATCAACTTTTATATTTTTATTTATTGATAACTACAATTAATACTAACAATTGAATTTTTGATGTCCTAAAGGTGAAAGACAATGAAATAATTGGTTAATAATGAAGTACTTAGGACCTTGCCAATATATTTGCTGAAGTATGTCATTTTAATGCACTTTTAATAAACTCTCAAGAAAGCCAAAAAAAATTGCAAATAAATTTGTTGAAATATGTCATTTTAATGCACTTTTAATAAACTCTCAAGAAAGCCAAAAATAGAGCATTACTACAAGTTTATGTTTTTCAAGTTGTATGGGGAAAAGATAAGTCATATGTGGCATCCAATATACATTTACATATTAAAAATAAAAAAATAAAAAATAAAAAATAAAATAAAAATAAAAAAAGGTATATAAGTTAGAAAGGTTGACTCGATTGCACTTCACATCAATGCCGAATTAACACTGTTTTTTGATAGAAAATTTTCACTTTTAAATGCAAGATTAAGACATTAAACTAACGTCATCGGAGCATGCTTGTTGGTTGTAGCTTTGTGCTAGTCCAAATATTTGGCGAATTCTGGCTTAGAGATCCAAATTACATAATGATCCGAAGATGAAAGACCACAAAATAATTCTTTGTGCATGACACCAATATAGTACGTATGTAACATATCAAATTATTATAAACTTACAATTTGAATCTAAGGAACAACTATTCTACCGGTCTGAAACCTTTTAAAAATCAACCCTATCGGATTAGCGTATTAAAAAGTATAGTGATATCTATCTTCAAAGTACCCCTTGTAAAGAATAAACCTGAAGTTGAAAGGTTCCTTCTTTACCACAAGGCAAACACTTAGTTAATTGGCATATTCCTATTAATACCAGTGTATCACATTAGATTATTAGAATATGCGTAGCAAAACCCTTAAAACTTCAAGACCAAACCAAAATGATAACGAATGGAAATGACGAGACTATTCTGGCCCATTAGTTGTTGTATATAAAAGGGACCAAATGGCCCATAAAAACTAAATATTTGGCCCAAACTTTATTTGGCCCACCCAACAGCTAACGGCTAGTAATGTTGAGTAACAAACTAACAACGGATCCAAACAAAAAGCAACAGAAAATTTCAAACCCTTGAAGCCTCTTCCTCCTTAATCTTAACGGCTATTTTTAACGACTTGATTTTCTCTGGATTCTCTCTTTCTTGTTCTATTTTTCATTAATTTCTCTTAATCTCTCTTTATTTCATCTACCAAATACAAAAAAACATAACCCAGTTTCGTCAATTAATTCCAAAAATAAACAACCCTGTTTTTATTTGTATTTTTTTTTTTTTTTTTTTACCCTCCCCTGTTTCGGTAAATTTTGATCAAAGAATTAGCTACAATCAAAATTAAGAAGAAATTGCATTTTGTATCTATTGGTGAATGATCAAGCCTTAAGGTTCGTAACAATTTCCTCTTCTTTTAATTTCCTTTCGGTTTTTCGGCAAAAGCCAATTAATCATGTACGAGTAATTTTCAATAATGCGTACCTAGAATTTATAATTTATGTGCACGATTGATTTGATAAAACACCTTAATATATGGTACTGTGAATCATATTTAAGTTTCCTGAAAAATGGGTATCTTGAGATTCTTATATGAGTAGCTAAAAATAGATGATCTCAGAAGTTTTCAGATCAATTTATCGTAGATTTATATTGTATATGTTTGGGCTGAAATTAGAAGGATTGAATGAGAAAATTGGGTTTCATAATTGTTCTCAGGTTAGGTTCTTGAATTCCTAAAACAGAGATTTGTAAGATAGATGGGGAAAGAGCTCGAAGAGGCGAAAGCGGAGATTGAGAGGCTTAAATGTAGCTTGGATGATAAAGATTACATCATCAAAACGCAATGGGATGAAACTAAAACGCTCAAAGCTCACATTTCGGAGCTGCAGAAGAAAGAAAAGGATGTCAAATCACCTGTAAACAATCAGGAAGGTGATTTGCTAGAAGAGTTAGTTGAGAGACACAGAAAGGTGGAAGATGAGCTCAAATGGAAGGTGGAGCAGTTTAAGCATCTTAAGGAAGCGTATGAGAAGCTTCGAGATCAGTTTCGTGCGAGTAAAACAGAATGGGAGACCGAGAAATCATCGTTGGTTGATGAGATATCGAAGCTGCAGGAAAGCTTTGATGATGAAAACCGAACTGCAGAAGGGCTGAAATATCAATTAGCAATGTGCAAGCAAGCCTTGGAGAATGAAGAAAGCAGGAGGAAAAAGCTGGAAGAGCAAGTTTCTGAAATGAAATTGTCATTGGAAAGTGTGACACGTGAGGGTTTTGAAGGAAAGATGGAAGGAGAGTGCTTAGCTGTGGAGAATGGCGAGGAGGAAGTTGCGAATCTGAGGCATTCGTTGCGTGTGAAGGAGATGGACTTCAAGGATATGGAATACAAGGCTAATAAACTGGAGAAAGAGAATCAGGAACTCCTGACCTCTATTAAAGAGCTCCAGGAAGCTTATATACCGAGAGCAGTTCCAACTCCATCCTCATGGGCTAAGCTCAAGACGAGACTGAAATCGTTGGAGCTGAGCCACAAAGAATGTTCTGCTAATCTCAAGGCTAAGGAAGCTGAATGGAATTCTAAAGCTGATAGAATGGATAAAGAGCTTGAACGATGTAGTTCTAACTTGAAGATTAAAGATCAAGTCATAGAAGAGCTGAAGAAGGAACTAGAAGGCTGCAATTCTTCACAGTTGAAGATGCAGAATGAAGAACTGTCTTTAATGTTGCAGTTGATGCGATCAGAAAGTTCGGAAGACATCGAGGGTGGTACAGCACAATTGATGGAGCAGTTAGAGAAGATACGGGGGGAAAAGCTTGGAATGCAGGAGGACCTTGATAAACTAAGAGAAGAGCTAAAAGAATTGCGCGAAGCTTTAGATGTGATTGATTCTGAGTTGACAGACCAGACTAATGAGAGAAATGGACTGGAATATGAGTTACAAAATTGGATATCTATAGCAGCACACCTCGAAATGCAGGTTATAAAAGGCCAGGCAATGCGCAGAGATTTAGAATTATCCTTGCTTGAACAAGCAGAGGTTGAGGAAATGCTTAAGATAGATACAGAAGAGAAGGACAGAAGAATAGGTAATCTTGAGCAGCAGATATTTTTGATGGACCAAGAGATTAGAATAGAAGAAGATGATACCACCGAAGAGGACGAAAAAGTATCACCAAGGATGCAGATGGATGATGAACAGCTACAACTGGAATTACTGGCAAGAGAACTTGAAGAAGCCATAGTTGTACATATCATGGAAGAGAGAGACTACTCATTAGAGCAGAGTTCGCAAGAAGACATGGAACCTGCAGAAATGCATGAAAGAATGATAGTTCAAGGATTTGATGATAAGAAAATAAGAATAAGTCTAGAAGGAGAAGATATTTGTGCCTCAAAAGAGAATGCAAGTCAGCAACATTCTCACTTGAGAAAGACAAGCGAATCCCTCATTGAGGAAAGATCGCCGTTCAGAGAGCTTAACTAGGAGATAATCTAGAAGAAGCAACTACTGCAATCACTTGACTTGTAAATGAGGAACAGTTCTTCAAGTCTCCACTCCTGACATTTCTTTTTCATTAATTACTCCCATTGCTTAAATGGAGAAGTATCCGATTCTTTTTGTGTGCATTGTAATGCTTTCACTAGTTTTACTTTACTAGTTTTTTTCTCCTCATCTGATTTCACCCTTGTTCAAACAATTTTTTTCAATGACATAATCAAACTTCAATTTGATGCCATGGACCAACCATCAAATTTTCAGTAACGGAATTATAGTGTTATTTATGTGTTACAGTAGCTAGCAAGGTGTAAAATCTATGAATTACCATTGCTATACAAGTCAAATTACACAACCAACAATTTTAGCACAGATATCTGCATAAGAAACCAAGGGAAAAAAAAAAAGGAGATATGCATGTACAACTCAATCTCTGCCATTCATGCCAAGGGATTTCTGAGAGAAGTTTGTGAGCCCTTGCCTTAATGCCTCTAGGTTCAATCCTCTGTTCACCAAAATGCATGTTACACCCATTTTTGTGACCTGCAATTCTCATGAGAGAATTCAGGCACGTTAACTTTCAGCTTTGACAGTTTTTTTTTTTTTTTTTGGTTGCTGCTATCTGTCTTCAAAAGAGCAATTGTTTACAGAGATTAATGTGATTAGGAACATTGAGATTTAGCCAAGGACACTTACCGCTTCAATATTCCTATTCTCATCATCAAAGAAAAGCATCAAGTCAAATGGTATTCCAGTCCTGTCATGTATCCTTTGAAAGTGTTCTGTCTTGTGTGTCCAGCTGGAGTAGATTTCCTGCATATTGGCAAAATACATATGCTGAAGTTTTTACAGCTAACACAGAGTCAACGCTACAGCCCCAATGCATCTAATCCTACATTCCTACTCAATGCAGGTTAATGGGACACATTTATGCAGCCTTACCCTTAAAAACCCAATGAAAGAAATCCAGTGTACAGAAGGTCAGATACAAAGTAAACAACAATGCTACATTTAAAGGGGGTAAGGGATATATGGGTATATTAAATAATGGAACAAACAATAGCGTACAATGAAAGATGTTCTTTTCAGTCAGAAATGTATAATAGCCTCAATCAGAGGAGGAAAGGGATGTAATCACAAAAATTAAAATTGAAGTTTTGCATGACTGACCTGCGCCACAAACATAGATTCGATGCCCAATTTAGCTAAAAATGCTTTAGCTACATTTGAAGTTGGTGATCTAGAGGCAATAGCCATTTCAATTCCTCTATCCTTCAGAGCACATAGTATGCTTCTAGCTTGAGGGTAAAGCTACGGCATGTCATCCTCATCATAGCACTCACTGTCAAATGACACAATTTCCATTTCACTTGTAATAAAAAGAAAATGGGAAAACATACAAGTGCAAAGATGATTAACACCAAAAAGAGCTGAGAATCACAATTGACAAGCAGAGAAAGTATCAATTATGCATTTCCTCCAGAAATTACCACAGAAAATAATTCAAATACAAAGTGTGCGAAGGCTAAAATTAGACTAACCTCTTACTATTTAGGACACTTCCCTCACGATATTTTTGAGCTTTGTTATGTCAAGGGAATATGAACAATCTAGTCTTATTTGAACTTATTTTGTCGGAAATGATTCAAAACAAGATGAGGTAAATACAACCTATACAGCCTGTGTAAACTACATGGAATTAGAAGGTTTTAAATGAGAGAAGTTCTAGCGCCACATCTGAATTAGGTTATCCTTTACCCTTTTTTATTAGAGTCACTATACTACTTGACGATAAGAGGGTCTTTTCCTCTTCTGTTGAATATATAAAAGCCCTGTTGAGCATGAGTTACAGGTGCAAGTTCAATACACGCCTAAGAAGCATGGAACTCTTTAGAATGAAACTGAAACACTGTCAATCAGGCTCAACCATCATATACACCAGCTACCTCCTTAATTCTGCCGCAATTTAAGCTACAAATCAGTAGATCTTTTTCTGGATTCTTCTAGTCACAGAATTATTGTTCTAGAAAGTTATTACTGTGTTCCCACAAGGCCACAATACGGAGTACTAAGGCAAAAATATATAATTAAAATCACTCATTGATCGTTGTTATTATAGTTTAGTAATTCTACTTAAAAGCTATTTTAACTTCTTATTCATGAGTATATATCTAAGGGATATGTTAACATTATTCTCGTTTCGACTAACAAAAATGCATTCTCCGTACAAATCAATGGATTTAACACTAATGCTTGAAAATTTAGTGACATCAAGATAAATTTACTTTACAATGTACACCTAAGACCTATGAGTCGACAAATGTTCCGAGTTCCGACAGCGAATATAGCTACTTTTTAGCAGGGTTTCCTCTCAGTTCTCAGTAACAGCAGAAATCAAGTACTGTAAGTAGTCAATTTTCATTACATACAATAAAATGCTGATAAATTCAACAGTAATTAACAGTAATCAACCAATTAAATCACAATTGACAGATAATTTAATAAAACATCCTGAATTATTCAAGTGCATGTAATTTCCGTAAGATAAGTGAATTTAGTAAAAAAAAAAAAAAAAAAAGCAAAATATATATTACGAAAAATAATGAGAAATGAAGAAGAAGATACCAGAAGAAAGGCCAGAGAGTATAATCGAGATCAAAAACGATGAGAAGAGGGAGAATCGGACAGCGATTGATGATCTGAGCTGCTTCAGACTTCACTTTCTGCAGTTCCTCCATTTCTTCTTCCCGCTGCTCTGCCATTTTCTCTCTCCTCCCTCCTTTGTAATGGGTGACTGGATCTTCTGGAGTACGGCTTCCAATGTATTCCCGCGACTTTTTTTTTTATTATATTTTTATTATTCCGTTCCCTCATTCTTTTTTTTTAAATAAGAAAAAAAAAACATTAGGAAACCTTCCTAACGGGAAAATTCCTAATGCGTCGACAGAAAAGATGGAAAATAGAGAACAATTGGTACAAGGCACTCTCGAAAGACATGACGAATGCTCCAAATATCGAATTTTCTAAGAAAACAACAAATGTCTTTAACAATATGATCAATTTGTCATAGTGTAGACTAGATGCCTTTAACGAACTTAATTACTAAAAGATTGCCACCTTCAATTAGAATATTTTTGGTCCCATGCTCAAAAGCTAAAAAAATGCCTTTATGAAAAGCCATGACCACTGTTATGAAAACCTAGGTGGTTCCGAGGTTGAAAGCTAGAGTCCCTAAAATTGTTCCACTGCTAATTTGCTAAACCTTTATGAAGAGCCATGACCTTCAATTAGAATATTTTCCGTCACCTCATTTGATCATTATCCTAACCCACATTATTTAACTTACCTGCGCATTTTATATGCGTTTGTTCATGTGACCACTTATAAAAGAATATAGTAATTCGCTGACTGAGTAACTTTACAACACTCACGAAATAACCTCTATGATGACGAACCATATATAACAATTTGTGTTGACTTACTATTCACAAAATATTAGAGTGAGGGATAGCTCAAGTGGTTAGAGTTTCCTTCCCGATTGCAGGAGATTTGGGATCTTAACCTTCGCCCTTTGTGGCTCTCTCAATACCAAAAAAAAATAAATAAATAAAAAAAAAAAAAAATGTTTACAAAGTTATATGTCAACTTGTGAAGTGACAATACCTTATATTTTCTTTGTGTTTTTTAGCTGACACATTTCTATTATCACGTTTGCTAACGCATGGTTTTAATGATTAATAACTCTAATTATCAACATTGTAAAATTATAAAAAGTGGATACTAATAAAATATACATCAAGACGATTAAAACAAGATCCCACATGACTATAACTATTGTAACTATAAATCACAAAAGCGAGTCAAAGTGTAGTGTGTGAATAGTATAAAAGTCAAACGGTGTCAACTAAATAAAGACAGAGGAAGTATAAGAGTTTGAGCTAATTTTTTTATCAAAATTATTTGAAATAAATATACTCCATATCTACCATCTTATTAACTACGTACTACTTCACAATCCCTTCGTTTCGTTATAATCATATCAATTTTTTTTTTACGTGCATTTCATAATAATTGCGACACTTCCATATTTAAAAAATACCTACTATTACTTTATTGAATCACTCTCGCATTAACCTTATTTTTACAAATATTTTGTTACTTCTCTTTTCAATTAACCCACCTACACTACTTTTTTTTGTGCATACTAATTATACTTAATATTATAAAAAATATAAAAAAATTGGTTCCCGCCCTATAATTTTCCTAAAATTTTGTGCATACCCTAATGCTGTGATTATTACGAAACGAAGGGAGAATAATTTAACAAGTGCGAAAAAATATAGATTATTTGATTTTTTAAAAAAAAAATTATATATATATATTTTTTTTATTATAATAACGAGTTTATTTAATTTGAAGATTGCAATTGTTTTTCGTGCATTATTAATCAATAACATAATACTAAAACATAATAATAATTTAGTAACAAAAAAAAAAAAAAAAAATTATGCGTTTTAGAAATAATTGATTAATACTTGATTATTACTTTTACTTTTACTATTACTATTATTTCCTAAACCTTCTTTTGTTATTCATATCTATTTAAAAATTTCAAAATGTTTTAATTTCTTATTAGGAAACGGCTTCCTAATAACAATTTTTTTTTTTTTTTTACAATATCAATCTTATTTGATTTATTTTTAATTTTTAGTTATTTATGTATATCAAAAGCACGACAAATTAGATATGTTTTTCACTATCCTAAGTTGTATCAAATACACTGTAGTAATTATTTATGTTACAATTCCATAGTGTTTAATATACAATTTTAAAATACTTAATTATTTAGTTAATAAAAAGAAAAACGATATCAATTTATCATTAAAATTTTAAACTTATTTGTCTAATTACTCTGTCGTCATTATATTTCATGTTTCATTTCATTATATACATTAAAAAAAAAAAAAAAAAAAATACTATGATTTATATTTTGTCCACATGCATTATACAAAATACTTTATTTTTGTTTTTTTAGAAATTTTGTATTGAATTATGAACGATAGTGAAATTAATTACAATACATAACACGGAACCTAATCTAGTTTACTATA